ATAGTGGCCCGTGTCAGTGAATCATCTGCCTCGGTTAATAGATTGTTGCATGATCAGTAGATGTTAATGTAATTTGCAGAAAAAATAGCTTTGTTCAGTCCAGTTGTGCTAACTCACCCCTCCAAATATTTGAAATATATAAAATATATTAAAGCTGTCTGCCAACGCTGCTAACATTGGATGTTCTCGCTTTGACAACAGATGGAAGTGCAGGCATTTTGCTCTTTTGCTTTTAGAGTTAGTTGATGCTGGGAGGGGGAATCTGGATGAGAGTCCAGCTAGTCATAACAATAATAACTCAGCCGTGGGAATCAAGGTTATTGCGACCAGAGTTGATAAAGATTTGGCGACCAGAGTTGATAAAGATTTGGCGGGCTGGAGAGTTGGGGAGAAAGCCCGTGCTTCAGGCTAATTGGGGGGTGTGATTTATGACTGTTAATTGGAGGAGGGAATTGTGCTTTGCTACTTTGTGCCCAGGGGAGGGGAATTCAGTTTTTGGCTTCAACTATGTAGTGCCGGTACTTTGTTTCTCAAATAAAAGATTCTTTAAGGCAGTGGTTCTCAACCTTTTTAATGCCGTGACCCCCAACCGGTCGTAAGTCGAGGACTACTCAACCAGTCGTAAGTCGAGGACTACTCAACTGGTGCAGCACCGTTTGCAGAATGGGACTTTTGGCGGGCTCAGCAGGGCAGAGACAGCCTGGACAATTCCTATTGGCTTTTGAAAGCCAATAGAATTAGACTCTATTTAAGAGAGTCTATTCTATTGGCTTTCAAAAGCCAATAGAATAAAAGGGAGTAGCACAGCTAAGGAAAAGGGGAAAAAAATGGCGGACTGCATTGTTTGGCGACCCCCGTGAAATGGTCGTTTGACCCCAAATGGGGTCCCGACCCACAGGTTGAGAACCACTGCTTTAAGGTAAACAATGCCTCAAAGAGTTCCATCTGTCAGAACCATGACACTGTCATTGAAGCAAATTATAAAAACATTATCAATTTAACGATGGATTTTAATGGATATAGTAGTCCAGGATGACTGGGTCAAGGAATGGCCTTTTGAAGAGGGGTAGTGCTACTGCCTAAAGTCTCAGCTCATACCCAGTCCACACTTTTTCTCTGGGAGCTCATACTCAGAACGGATTGTGTTCAAGCCCACAGGTGCTAAAGCAGATGTTTTGAGAAGAAAGTTGTGATGCATTCCAAAATAGGTGATAGCGGTAAAAACATTTAAAAATAGTATAAATTTGTGAACTTAATTCAAGCACACACACAGGCATACGGTTGCACTATATATTCTTCCTAAGCCCTGTCATTTTTATTAGAATAGCATTTTTATTAGAATTAGAATAGCAGCCATTGCGATAACAACAGAGATGAAGCGAAAGTAACAACAAGCAACCATTTTAAAAAAAAATAATTACAGAAGATGTGAAAGAGTATAACGTATTCAGAACCAGCCAATTGTTGGACGGAGCATTTGGTCAACAAACTGACATTTCTGTAGATCAGGGCCAATCCACCACCATCACTACTTTTGATTATCCTCCATTATTAGCCTGCCATATTATGGAATCGCCATGTAAGAGTGAATTCTTTTCTTTGATCTCATTCTGTGATGATTTACCAGTAATCATCCTGTATTGAGGAACAGGACTCGGGAGGGCGGGGCCTCCTTCCCTAGCACTTTTACTTCCTTGGTTAGAATTCAGCCTAAAAGGAAGGGAAACCAGCTAGCGGCCCAATAGTAGGTTGTAATCTTGCTGTGACCTTAGAACAGGGGTCTCAAACTCAATTTCACTGAGGGCCTCATCAGCATTGCGGTTGCCCTTGGGGGGGCAGGTGGGTGTGGCCAGGATGGGTGCGGCCTACTGGCTAGTGTGGATGGAGTGGGTGTGGCCTATTGGGTGGCCTACATTGTTCGCGTCAAGGGGGCCTGTGGGGGCCTGGGCAGGAGTGGGACAGATCTGAGGGTCTCTGGCCGAAGGGGGTGGGACCGGGGCAAGCGCCAAGGCATGGTCCATTTCTTCATTCCTCACAAAGGGTGACACTTCCCCAGCATGCACCCAGGGGGCGGGGCCGACGCAGCAGGGGCTGGTCCCTCTCTGTTTCTGGATGGCCTTGTGGAGCTAAGACTGAATGCATTTCAGCATAGAGGGCCACCACAAAATTGTACATTGGCTCCCGGCCAGCCTGGGCCAGGGCAGCAGGGCCGTTCCCTCACTGTTTCCAGAATGACATGTCTGCCTGTTCCCAAGCTATTTCCTTTTCCTCATTTCTATGTCCAGGTCTTTGTCTTAACACCAAGCTACAATAAAACCAGCAGTAGTTTTTTTTTAAATCTCTCAGATATTCTCAGTATGTGTAGAAAAAGGACAAGGATGTCCCTGCTCTCCATAATAGCCCTTCAAAACCTCTCTCAAAGGCTTCCTTCAGTGGTGGGTCCTTTTGGGGTGAACTGAAACAGTCTTGACTAGTAGGAAGGCTGAATGAGATACTACAGCAGTGGCCAAAATTGTGGAAACCTTTTGGGGAAAGTGTATTTTTGAGGTTTGATGGCTAAGAACACCACTTTTTTTGGGGGGGAGTAGTACCATAAAATTATATATCAATGGAAAGATAATTTAATCAAGAATGTAATGCAACATAGTTTGTTCAATTGTCTGTACTGTATTCTATGAAAAGTTACAGCCAAATAACCAGAAAAAGGAAGCACAACTTGCTTAGGGTGATCTCAGGTAGTTTTTCTTCATCTGATGTTAGCCAAGTAGCGTGAGTGTTTAGAGACCCAATCAGGTGTCCTTTTGTTTTGGCAATGAGCCAATCAGATCACAGTAGGATTCAGTGATTGATGTCCTGTATTGAAGCTGAGAGGAGGACATTGGTCAGTGTGTTATGTGATCGGTACCAAGTCTGTTGGGTTTTTTTTTTCTTTCATTTAGTGAGCTTGTAAAACGTAATAAAATTAAAGTCATGGTGCAAAGAGTTGACTAGTCGCTCAGAAAGCGATGTAAAATAGTATTATTAAGTGAACAAGGCTACAGTTATAAAGAAATTAGAAGAAAAATGGGTGGAAATTTAACCAAAGGTGGCATTTCTACTGTACACTTTTCCCAAAAGGTTTCCACAATTTTGGCCACTACTGTAGGAGTCATTTGGGAGCACTGAGGCACGATTAATTAAGGAGGGAGGCATGGACCAAGTGTGTTATCCCTGATTGAAGGGCTGGTTTTCTTAGACGTGTTTGAGGCAGGGCTGGCGCTAATATCCGCATAGAGTTCATTTTTAGCACCGATCCCAAGGAGCTCACTCTAGGGAAGAAGCCCGGGTTTGGTTCTGCAAGGGGAGGCAGCTATATGGAATGCTTGCAAATTCTTAGCAGCCATTTGAGAGGTCAGATCCCATGGATCCTTGTCCTCTGTATTCTTTCATAATACTGAAGCAACAAATGTGTTGATTTTCTATAGGTAGTTCTTGCTTAACAATCATTTGTTTGGCGACCATTCAGAATTACGACAGTGTTGAACAAATGTTAGTTATGACTAGTCCTTGAAGTTGTGGCCATTGTAGTGCCCACCTATCAAAATGCAGGTACTTGGTAGACCGCCTGAATGTACAACTATAGAGTACATTTCAACTGCCCCCCCATTGATCTTCTGCCGTTGCTCCTGCCCCCTGCTGACCTTCACGGTCTTCTTCCTCTGCTGCTGCTGAAGCACTCCCGGCCGGAGTACTTGCTGGCCTTTCCTGAAGTAGTGAAGTGCAGGGCAGCCAAAAGAGCAGAGATTTTGGGGGAGGAAGAGGCGGGGGAATTGAAGCAGAGGCAAGCACAGCAAAGCGGTAGATCCTCGTTAGGGGAATTGAGCTTGCTGGGCCCAGCTGAGAAGGAATCCACGGGATTGAGGCATCCGTTTGTGCAGGGAAGGAGAAGCAGGCACGAAGACCTTGCCAATAACCACAATGAGGACTAGGGGAACTGCTGTTGTTAAGCAGTGTGGCCATATAACGTTTTCCCTAATGACTGTTTCCTCCGGGGTGGAAAATTCTGGTCCTAATTAGAGGAGTTTAAGTGAGGACTATCTATAGAGGGCATCGTTTTTCTGTTTGGCCTTATTACTATTCGCAGCACTGTTCGAAATTAATAACAATACTATTTTTTTATGTCGCTGTATACGAAAACCTTTAAAATGGGGAGTTGGGCTTGGTACTTGCTGAAATGTACAGTTGCAGAAAAGATCTGGAAGAAGTTTGATTCCATTTCCCCCTAAAAAAAAAAAAAAAGCATGATGCGGGAGTTCTACGTCCAGATGCTTTTTTTGCTTGTTACATTTTACTTAGCAGGTGCTATTTTGTCATGCGTTTATGATAAGCATTGTAAGGAACTCTTTGCGACTCTTGGGTAATCCAGCCCACGATGGGGCTAGATCGAATACAACAGGCTTTCAGACATTGTTACGGGCCGGTGCAAAACAAATTCGTTCTGTAACTCTCGGCAATGAACCCTCCCTTTCCACTATTTAAGTTCTACAGGTCAACCTGAAGGCGCCTTGGCTCACTTGCTAACTTCTAAGTAGGATGCTTGTCCAGGGTAGCTTGTGCTGACTGTCTTTCCTACACGTCTCGAATGAGAAGAGACCCACAGGTGGGATTGCTTCTTACAAAATGCACATCTGGATCTGCCCGGCTGACTGCATTTCATCTAAATATGTTTCCTTTTCTTAAATTCCTCCGCCCATTGGTTGATTTAAGAATCTGTCTGGGCCACTCATTTTCCTCCACACACTTTGGGCCAACCGTCATTTTCCATCTCCTCATTTTGCCCATTCTGTCTGACTTTTGATAAATAAAGTAGTGCTTGTTATCGTCAGTTCAAGCTCTCTTCTCTCCTAAGGTTGATTTGGGAAGGGAATGAACTCGTTTTTTTAGCCATAAATGTCATGTTGTTATGATTACTGCCCAGGGGGGGCAGAGCTAAAACTAAACCATCTGTTTTTCTGTCTTAGCCACAGACCAACAACAAAGCCAGTGTAGTAAGCCCAGCAAAAGAAACGCCCCCAGTGCAGATGTCCATGGTACCTTTCCCAACCATTTCTTTGTCCTTGCTTCCTTTTTGGTCTCACCCTTGGCCAGAATGCTGCCTGTTTTTGCTCTTTTGTTTTGGCTTAGTTCTGTCTGCCTTCCCAAACATTATCCCCAGCTTCCTTGCCAGTTTGGAGGTGCAAAGCACTCTGGTGTCTCTGTATGTGGGTCCCGCAGACCGAAGGAGGCTGTAGCAGAGTGGCCATCAGCATCCAGTCTCCAAGGAAGGAAGGAATGGAAAACTCCTCTGTGGTCTGATTTTGCACAGGGTTTTTCGCTGCTCCTCACTAACCCTTTTGCCAAGGGCCACCCATTCCGTAAGGCAGTGGAAAGGCTCTTTTGCTGTTGTCCTTGAAAACAGAGTGATCGCCTCATGCAGTATCTGATGGGAAAACGGGAGAGCATTATGGCGTTGAGTCATACTGCTGATGGGGAGGCACTTGAAGGCTCCTGGGGAACAAAACTGGATAAGGACAAGCCTCTCCATGATAATTCAGGAATGAGGGCCAGAAGAAGACCTTAGTGGGATTCTTAGAGACTGGATAGTTGCTTTTCATTCTCTGTAATGCTTTTTTCCCCCCCTCTTGGGAATATTTCATAATTTGAATTCCCACGTAACACGGTGTATTCCCAGATTGCACCGGCTTTTAAAAAGAGTTGCTTGTAAGTTGCTTATTTATCTTCTTGTCTTCGTATTGAAGTCATCCCATCTTGGCAACTCGATTTGAATCAGACGTGAGATTTTTGCCTGTTCTCTGCGTAGTTCTTTGCTATGTATAGCATATACGGGTGCCTTTGGTGCCCATTGCGTGGGAAATTATGAATGTCCCCGTAGAGAGAGAGAAATAATGCCAAAAAGCTGTGTGGGGAAGTCATGGAGACAAAGCCATATCTTCAGCCTTTTTATTCCGAGTGAAATTTTAAGCGGACCGTTTCCCTTTGTTTAATGAATTACAACGGTTTTCCCAAGCTTTTCTCTTGATAGCTGCAACGAGCTTTCAGATGAAATGCATATAGCTTGTTAGGATATGGAGAAATACCATGGCTTTGTCTCCTAGAAAATGTAGGTGTTAGTGCACGGGTGTCAAACTCGCCGCGTCACGTGACGTGTCACGGCGTATTGCGACTTTTTTTGCGTTGCTGGGGTGGGCACGGCCTCCGCATGATCCAACCGGCCAGCGGGCCGGCAGTTTGACACCCCTGTGTTAGTGGGTTTTGGGGGGCTGTCCAAGGGAGCGATCTGTGTTATCTGTTATCTGCTCACACCATCCTCAGATAGAAAACTTGCGCTTGGTTCTTGTTTGTTATTTTGCTTTCCCAACAGATACTGCGCAGAGCAGGAAACATCCTTTGAGCTAGAATCTGATTCTTTATTTCTGTCCTCTTTCAATTAGGAACCACAGACTACTGTTGTCCACAATGCTAATGATGGCATAAAGGTAAGGTGAGGTTCACAAAAAAGACTTCCATAATTTCAAACTGGCCTCTTCCTTATCCTTTGAAATCCCATACGTTGCGGAAGGATTTACGTTAGCCAGAGTTATATGTAATTAATTGTATAATCCTGCTAGAACAGTGGTTCTCAACCTTCTTAATGCCGCGACCCCCAACGGGTTGTAAATCGAGGACTACTCAACCGGTCGTAAGTCGACGGCTACTCAACTGGTGCAGCACCGTTTGCAGAATGGGACTTTTGGCGGGCTCAGCAGGGCAGAGACAGCCTGGACAATTCCTACTGGCTTTTGAAAGCCAATAGAATTAAACTCTATTCAAGAGAGTCTGTTCTATTGGCTTGCCAATAGAATAAAAGGGAGTAGCACAGCTAAGGAAAAGGGGGAAAAAAATGGCGGACTGCGTTGTTTGGCGAATGAAATGGTTGTTTGACCCCAAATGGGGTCCCGACCCACAGGTTGAGAACCACTGTGCTAGAAGAAATGATCAGCTAAATTTTCCCTGAATTCTATGCTATCTAACTGGCTTACCTCGTTTATTAGATAGCTGGTTTTATTTTGAAATGTACCTATCTTTATGGCAAAAAGCTTGATTGTTTTAGATATTTGGATACTTCACTCGGAGATTTCTCCTTGTCTTTTTTGATACAGAAAAGATAATACAAATAAATACGAAACTTATTCAATGTTTTTATATTCTGCATTTTTGTGGTTGGCGGAAAGGTGATACAAAATACAACTTTTCCTACAAATTACAAATTAAGTCTGGTGTTTCTCATCATATACAGTTGCAATATAACTTCTCTTCCTGGCCATGTTGCTGTCTTTTAATTGTGGACCCCAAATGGGGTCCCGACCCACAGGTTGAGAACCACTGTGCTAGAAGAAATGATCAGCTAAATTTTCCCTGAATTCTATGCTATCTAACTGGCTTACCTCGTTTATTAGATAGCTGACATAAAAAAAAAAAAATCTGTTTTATTTTGAAATGTACCTATCTTTATGGCAAAAAGCTTGATTGTTTTAGATATTTGGATACTTCACTCGGAGATTTCTCCTTGTCTTTTTTGATACAGAAAAGATAATACAAATAAATACGAAACTTATTCAATGTTTTTATATTCTGCATTTTTGTGGTTGGCGGAAAGGTGATACAAAATACAACTTTTCCTACAAATTACAAATTAAGTCTGGTGTTTCTCATCATATACAGTTGCAATATAACTTCTCTTCCTGGCCATGTTTCCTTTTATTATTTTAAGCTGTCTTTTAATTGTGGACTTTGTTCCATTTGATCCTGAGAGTTATCCCATATAAAAACTTGTAGAAGGAAATTTTTTAGGAAATCAAAATCTATAACATGATACTGCAGTTAGTTCCCGACTTTACAACCATAACTGGACCAAGATTTATGTTATTAAACAAGGAAATTCTTAAGTGAGTCGTACCCAATTTAACAATATTTTTCCAGAGGTTGTAAGTGAATCACTGCAAGAAAATCTTGGTTATTTATAACTTAGAAGTATAAATATTAATAGTTAAATTTGAACATGGATTTGCTTATAAAGGTTAAATGTAAAGGTAATTAAGATATATATAAGCTAAAAATCAATTAATGAATGTAATAAATATTTTTTTACCTACCGGTAATAATAAAAATTATTAGCTTAAATATGAGATATAGATATTAAGAGAAAAAGACAGGAAGTATTAAATGTCGAAATAGGAGGAATTTTGGTTACTAAATTTAAGATATCTGGAAATTACTAGAAAATAAGAATATTATATTGTATTACTAATTAGTTGATGTAAGATGGTGAGAACTCAAATAGATAAGACGTGCATTCTGAACATTAGATCTTGTGATGAATTGTGATAAAGGGAATTGGGGTTATTTAAAATTTGGAAATTATAAATATCAAATGTGAAATATAAATATTAATGGGAAACCAAAAATTGGGAAAAATTAACCAGGACATTGACTGTCTAAAAAGATTGAATGTTAAAACAAGGATATGTATAAACTAAAAATTATTGATAGATGCAAGAAAGTTATTTTTTATTTAATTGATATAATAAGAATTGTACTAATTTAAAGATTTGAGACAGTAAATACTAAGGGGAAAAGAGGGGAAACGTTTAATGTAATAGTTTGAGATCTGTACTAAAGGTATTCGTATGTTATTGAATTATTGACCAACTCAGCCGCCACGTTGCTTTTCCAATACTTAAATGTAAAAATAGAAAACCAATAAAATTTTCTAAACAAAAAAAAAATCTGAATCACTGCAGTTGTTAACCCACCAATTCAGCCTACCCCGTTGATTTTGCTGGCTGGACAGGTTCTGATTGCTGGGAGTCATACAATCACTGTGTCAGTCACACAGTTTGACCTGTGTGAAGGAAGCCCTGTGCCAGGCAGGAATCACTAGAGATTTTGCTTCAGGTAAAAAATGAATAAATATATCCAGAAAATGTCAGTGTATAGAAGATTACAGAAGACATTTCATAATTTATCTGTAATTTAAACAACATGCCTTGGAGATGTTGAGAGGCCAGCTGTGGAATTTCAAAATGATATTTAGGATAAGACTGCATCGAATGAATAAAGGTTGCCAAATGTCCACTTTTTCCTACTCGTCTGCTTTTCTTGTCTTCTGAATGCTGATGTTTCTATCTTACAGGGTTCCACAGAGAGCTGCAATACCACTACTGAAGATGAAGATTTGAAAGGTACATACAGCCTAATAGCAAATGAAGACGGGATGGCAGGCTCGTTGACAAAGCAGCTTTTTTCCATGCCAGATTCTGTGCAAACACACCCTTTAAAGGAATAAGAGTTATTGCAATTCTTGTGGTCTGGAATTGCTGGTTTACAGACAGCATTATTAGTATTATGTTTGGTTGCACACTCAGCCAGATGTTTTGACTAGATTTGACATTTTTATCTTTCTATTGAGTCCTTCCCAAGGACCAGGGATATTGTTATTTATTAAATTTACATACCACCTGACTCCCAGCAACTCTGGATGCTGTACAATTGTCAAAACATTTAACGCAAAAGCACATAAGGCAAAAGAACAATGATTGCTGAGAAAACATACACATACATATGTATGTATGTATGTAAACAGTACACCAACCTCATCATTGTTCTTATTTCTAATATTTAACCTTACAGAATCTTGCTAGTGGTTTCTGGGAAAATAGATTTGCTATATTTCTATGCAATATGTAAAAACTACAAAGATGAACTATCCACAGTGCAAGCTGCCACAATAGGCAAACATTAATTTCCATTATTTACAGCATGTCACAATGAGTCATTTAAACTGACCTCAACTTACTGACTAGGATTGAAGGAGGAGAGTACTTGCATTGTTCTGTGTGGATGTGATGCTTCTGGAGAGTTCTTATATCAAGCTTTTCCTGCTGATCTGTCAAGCGGGCCCCTCAGTTGTGGAACCACATCGCCGATCGTATCTCCAACGCAAAAATCTGGTTGAGCACAGGATGGCAGCACAGGGTCATAAAAGTGCAAATGCATTGCTGCCATCTAGTGGATAACTAGGTTGTACTCATTGCACTCTTTGCCTTGTTTTCCTTTGTCTTTTGAAAAAGAGGTGGGGTAGGGAGTAGGCAGAATCCTGGGAAAGCAGCATACAAATCTCCTAATAGTTTATAGGTCAATCCAAGTGACCCAAATCCTTTATTTTTAAACAGAAAGCTGGATTGAGGGTCAGCCTGTTTTGAACAGAGTGCACGCCTCCTGAAGCAACAGCTTTGAAACATACCGGGGAGTCAATGCCCGCTTTATTCATTTCTGAGCAGGTCATCTTTGGCATCGCTTACCCATACTTTGGTTCCTTTCCACCTTGACCACTGTAATGTTTTCCACATTGAGCTACATTTGTAAAGTCACAATAAGTGGTTATATTATTATGTGATCCTGATACCAAAAAATCTGAAGCGATGGGCAATTATTCGCTGGATATAATTAAGAGGTTATTCCTGTTTTTAGGGCCAAAAATGACTTGTGGGATGACTATCACGGGAGCCATTTCTCTCCTTATGAACCGTGTGGTGGTGGTGATGGGGAAGCATCGCCTTCACAATTTACTCGTGAAATTGCCTCTCCGTAGATAGAATAATTAAAAATGAGACCTAAGCTGAGACAATTTCTTACATAATTATCAAAAGGCACTATGTTTAAACCAGAAACTCCCAAGCCTCAGAATAAAAAAAAAAAAATGAAGTGATCCTTCAATTTGTTTGACCAACTTCTAACCTGATTAATCTTAAGTTTATCAAAGCCAGTTTCATATGCTGTCGATCTTTTGTTTCTGCCTCCAGCTCATATAACCAATAGACCAGTCCTTCATTTGGTGGGCAATTTTAAGATGTGTGGACTTGAAGTGTGCACAGGCTGATGGAATACAAAATGGTTCTGTTATTTAAAGACGTTTCTTTGGACTGTGAGATAAAGCATAGCTTTCTTGACTCAACAGAAAAATCTTCCAGGGTGTGCCTTGCATACTAGCCATTACATCTGGACAGATTGCAAAAAGTCACTAAGTATGTTCTTGCCTGGTTTACAGTCATCAAGGTGCATGCGTAGATAGCAAAATGAAAAAAACAATTTTCTAATTTAAAAAGTGGCTCGGTATTTGACTGTTATTCTGTAGAGATTTCCACATTTTGGGGGAGTCTGCCTGGATTAGCTGAAGTAGATATGAAGAGGTGTTAGGAGGGATGAAAAGAACGGAGATACATGCAAAGCTGTTGGGTCAATCTGGTTTCTCAGTCAGACAATCTCAAATGTTGCATTTGTGAAGACAGGAGGTTCTCTGCTTGCATGAAAATGAGATGGGAAAAACACCAAGAGTTGCTTAGTGGGCACTTAGTATTACTGTTTTCTATCTTTCTTCAATAGGACAGAGGAGGCACATAATCAAATTAGAAAAAATAGCAGTATGTTTCCTGCCTTTGTAACTCGCTTTTCTTCCATGACACTCAAAGTAGCCTTGATCGGACCCCTAACCTATTGAGGTTGAGAAGTTGAGTTGCTCACTCAGAAATTGTTATATTGAGACAGGGATGTAATAATCTGGCCTTCCTACAATGCCCTCTCCACCTTATTAATTGTTTTAATAAGTACATATTGATTTGGGGACAAGATCTGACATTTTCCCTTGCTAAAATTGGCATTTTTAAAAATTCCAAATAATTGCAATGTCTTTTGTTTCCTCCTAAATGTCCAGAAATCCTGCTCCTGGGTCAGATCAATGAACTTCTGTCTGCGATGTAGTTTTGATTGTAATGTGGAATCTGTGGAGTATTTTATTCCCCACCTTGTGTCTCATTTAGTTCCCAGAGTCAGTACATCAGAGTCAGTACATCAAAAGAGTGGATCTCTTTGAAAAGATGCTTGGAGTGTATCTCCAGTGGGAAAGGTCTTTCAGAGATCCATCAAAGAATGGCCCTGGAGCTGCTTTTATCTGGGAACAGACTGTGCTCTGGGAGTTTGTCTATGTCAGGGATAGGCAACCTTGGCTCTTTTATGACTCGTGGACTTCAACTCCCAGAATTCCTGAGCCAGCCATGCTGGCTCAGGAATTCTGGGAATTGAAGTCCACGAGTCATAAAAGAGTCAAGGTTGCCTACCCCTGGTCTATGTGAATTTGTATTTTCACTGCAATTCTTATCCTGCTTTCTGCTTTTATTTTTATTTTAATGCTTGCATTTGTTTTGCAGCTACTGCTACTCTGTCTTATGAAGAGAAACTACTTGCCTGGGATAGCTCAGGTCAAACAGTGGAGTTGGATCGTGCTCAGTCGGAGCCTGTCCTAACTCCAGTAGTTCCATTTGCATTTAACAGTCTATCATGTAAGTTAGCTGTTAATTAGCAGTAGTAGCAGGTAGAGAAATAGTAGTAGTGATTTATGTCCCTCTTTATTTCTCTATTTCTACCTTTCTTCCCTATCGTCTTTGTAGCAGTTATCACTTTCTGCTTGAATTAACCAGCTAGAAGAGTAGATCTGTTCATTACTAAGTGTCCCCCATCCCTGGAAAACTGTGCTGTGCCAGACTTTTATCTGCATTCGCTTACATTTCAGTCTGGGACAAGTCATTGGCCAATTGAAAATTGTTGACCAAGAGTTGTAGACAAAAGTGTACATGGAAATGCAAACAAAAATGCTAAGAAAGTAAAGCATGTGATAATATTGTCAATTGTAGCAAATTAGCATCTCTTCTAGAGATAACAGATGACTTGTCCTCAAAGTATTCTCCTCCTTTGAGCTGCTATTAGAATGGGCTTTCAAAGGGCATTTATATGTGCCAGTAAGCTTGCCATGCTATGAAGAAGGGACAGCACAAAAGCATGTGAGAAATTGTTGCTGTCTCCTCTGTCAAACAGTGACAAAGTGTCCCTTGTGGAATCTTCCTGTGTATTTGATTGTAAGCCAAGGTGGGAACATCCTTGCCCAAGCCATAGGATGGGAAGTGAATCTGTTGGCCATCTTTCTTCATTGTCTTTTCTACCTACCTTGATTACAACGAAGATCTACATGTTAAGAGAAACTGTTCTTCTGTAGATGAGTGATGATTTCTAAGAATGCTGCAAAGGTTTTTTTTGTTTTTGTTTTTGCAATTCTCATTGAAATCATTGTTTATTTTCAGTGGATTATTAAGTTTAATTTTGGGGTTTATTGTATGTAATGTTCAATAGAAAGCAAGTTTATGTGTTGCTGTCTGTTATCCATGATGATTACTGCACTCCACTGGGTTTTAAAAGCTTTCTGTTCATGCTGTCATGTTTGCTTCAGTCCAAAACCGTAATAAAATATTCACCATTACTGAATCTTCCTTCTAACAACAAAGATGAAAATGTTTTTTGTAGCAGATAAAGATAGAAACTCAGATGTCCAAGAAATATTTGCTTACAAATGGGACGTTTCGACATAAGAGAATGATCTCCCAAACAAGCTTACTCCTCTATAGTTGGGGCTTTTATTTAGGTTGTACGGGAGTACTCAAATCAAGTTGTTTCAAGGCTGAGTAAAGTCAGGTCGTGGGCTGATAGGCCATAATATGTTAATATTGGACACTTGTTTTCTGTATAGACCTAAAATGACTAAGGTACTCCATAAAAAAGGAAACTAATTCAATATTTCAGGCAGCCAAGCTGCATATGAGTCTCCACAGAAATTAACAAGATTCAAGGGCTTTCAGAACAGGTCTCCAAAATTTAGAGTAGGTTCCTCTACAGACTCAAATCACAGTAGTAACAAATTTACCTACCATTTAGCAGGCATTGAAAGATCTGAACTCTGGATATATTTATTGCAGCAGGAATATTATTTCCATTATGGTTAGAAAAATGCAGAATTTCATTGGAAAGTTTATGGACCTGATAGTGATATGCCTCCACTGTTAATCTCGGATTGCCAAGACTTGGAAAGTTGCACCCAAATATTTGAATATAAATATATTTTGTTTACTATGACATGGATCTATACAAAAATGGCTCAGTTAAGTAGGAAAGAGAGAAAAATAGATGGTTGGAAAGTACAGTGTGATGTTTCTCATTGGTTGAGATGTTTAATCTATTTGGGCACAATTTAATAGCTGGCATGTCTACAGTCTGTTGACAATATTTGTTGTTTTATTGATGCTAAGCACAACAAAAGTAGCAATTGGACAAAAATAATATATTGCTCAGTATATGAACCTAGAAAGTGCTTTATCATCCATACCTTCCATTTGTACTACCCATTCAGTTCTAACTGCCCACGGAATGATGAACACAACAGGCCTTTTAATCTATTCTAGCACAAATGGTTTAATGTTTCTATTAAGGGAACAGAGTAATCAGTATGCAAGTGGTAGATGACAAAAGATATTGGGCTTTGATTCCATGGTTTCAAGCTCAAGGTTTGCGTGGATTCCACAAAAGCAAGGAGTTTGGTTATGCAAACTCTTAGAAGGGAACCGGGTGAAAATTTGGTAAGGATTAAGGACGTCACGAACATTTTGCTCTCTGACTTCAGAAAAGATTGACAGACACGTGATAAACTGCACATGTCCGCTTTTACAAAAGTATTTGATGGAATTGCATGTTTTTTTGTAATTGGATAAAGAGAAGCAAAGCATAATATGTAATGCATTACACCAGTGGATACCATTCAGAAGACTTTAAAGTCTTGGATAAGACTTTAGCATCCCCATCACATGTCTGTAAACATTCAAGGCCTACAAATGAGCCTGTTTTTTTGAAGCTATTTATTTCTGTTGTGGAGGAATTCAGAAACAGATATTAAATGTGCTATTGCTCAGGTGGAGGGTGTCTGAATTCTAACCATATGCTTACTGTGTGCAGTTAAAACTTTGCCTTAAATCATTTCCTTACATGGTGAGAGTTAGAATTTTGAACTGCCACAAAGTTGTTGTGGCATACATAAAATTGGGAACAGTAGTCAGCCACAAAGGCTACTTGAATAAGGTATGAAAATGTTTGTTCAAATGAAAGCCTGAATATTTTCATAACCAACATGAAAGCAAGATAGTTTCTTCATAACAACAGACTCTGCTCAGTCTAGTCCAGGGGTAGGCAACCTTGGCTCTTTTATGACTTGTGGACTTCAACTCCCAGAATTCCTGAGCCAGCATGGCTCAGCTTGGAAACCTCTCCATTTCTTCTCAGCATGGCTGGCTCAGGAATTCTGGGAGTTGAAGTCCACAAGTTACAAAAGAGCCAAGGTTGCCTACCCCTAGTCTAGTCTATGAGCTATTTCTCTGAGAATTGCTGCCAGTGTGACTCTTCTTCAGATGATTCAAATCACAATCTGCAAGAAAAGTCATTTGATGACTTTGCGTCAGTTTAGTCTAACAGAATGAGACTACACTTGGGACATTTTCAGGAGAAGCAGCAACTTTATTCAAGAATAAAAATACTTGCTATTAAATCATTTACTTAAGCCACCAAGCAGACATTGGAGGCAGTGTCTGAAAACCTATCATTGTGTCCTTCTGTTTATGTGTTTGAAGTTCTCCAACGGAAATCCCACATTTGTATAATTTGTTGGAAGTTTCAAAGAGGTGGCGCAGCAGTTAGAGTGCAGTACTGCAGGCCACTTTAGCTGACTGTGTTCAGCAGGTCAGTGGTTCAAATCTCACCGGCTCAAGGTTGACTCAGCCTTCCATCCTTCCGGGGTAGGTAAAATGAGGACCCAGATTGTTGGGGGCAATGTAAATATATGTATACATTGCTTACTGGTGTACACCGCTTGCACTTAAAGCGGTATATAAGTCTCATAAATAAATAAATAAACTGGCAGTCTTGCTATAATCTTATCTGGGTCAGTGCAAACGCAATTAAGCTTCTTCCTGCAGATCTGCATTTTGTCCCACCAACCTCAGAGTGATTGTACAGTCATTCCCAGTGGTGGTGATGACATTCTAGTGTTTGTTAGTACAAATCATAGTTACTATAACCCAGATTTCTACAGAACCATAGTAGTTTACGAAATACAAATTGTGCTTCAAACTAGAACTGCATAACATGAGACCAAGGGTACATCCCCTTAAAATAACTAGAATACAAGCCTTCCAGAATTTGCTACTAAATTGTAATGTCTAATTTGATGGATTTTTTTTTAAAGAAAATTGATTATACTGAGGATATCTAATTTAAATTTATTACTGTCGGTAAAACTCCAATTGTGGCCGTTGGATGAAAAAAAAAAAAAAAGAACGTTCCTGGTACAATTACTTAGTTTCTGAGGGAGTAATAAACCAATGATATAGACCTGTAATGGGTCCATTTCTTCAGAGTTGCATCATACGGTGAATTTTTCCCATCCACAGAGATGACGCTTCAAGAGTTGTTCCTTGACTCTGAGAACATTACTGCGCTATATGGAGATTATATTTTAGATTTAGTACAATATCTTGACTTTCTGAATGGTACGGTCTGTTTTCTGAGCTCTTTCCTCTTTATAGCAGACACCATCCCTCCAAATTGGGTAGGCAACTATGGCCCCTTTACCACAGATGGACTTCAACTCCCAAAATTCCTGAGCCAGCTAACCTATGCTGGCTCAGGAGTTCTAGGAATTGAAGTCCACCGTTGTCAAGGGGCCATAGTTGTCCATCCCTTCTCCAAATGGTTATCCTCATTGCTGTGCTGGAATGCAAGAAGTCAGCTGCCCCTCCAGAAGACTACTATCAACCCTGTTGATTCTCTTAAAGGAGGATCACCTTATTCACCTTATATTTTTCATAATTCCAGTCCTTTAAAATTGTCTTTTTCTTGCTTGCCCTCAGTGCGTAAGCAAGAAATCATCAAGATAACGGAACAGCTGATTGAAGCAATCAACAATGGAGACTTTGAAGCTTACACGTAAGTGAAGAAATGCGGAGGTCTCTTTATGTATCATAATGACCGTATAGTTAGTCCTCATGTGGTGGTTACTCACAATTACAACAGCGATGAAAAAATAACTTTGTGAGCAATCCTCGCATTTATTTTTTTAACAACTTTTGCAGGTCTGCAGAGCAAAGGAAAGATGAAGATAGATCATCAGCCCAATTTCAGTTTCACTTTGGGATTGCTTGGCTTAACCAAGTTGCCAGTCCTAATTGTAACTACAGGAGGACTACCTGTAATTAGTTACATAAGCTATGAAAGCTTATCCCAACTAATAGCCAGAAATACTTGTAACCTATTGATGATTAACATTGAGTGTCAAATGTGCCTTTGCGTTTTTTAGCTTAGAACACCAGAAAGGCATAAGTGAATATTTTGTGATGCTGTAGAACCAGTATGAAACACGTATAATAAATGCACTTCTGTCAATATCAAGATTTTGAAAGCATGAAACAATGGTCATTCGTTGTATCAAATTCATTCCTCTATACAAAAATATTATTAGTTTTGTTTTTTCTCTCTCTGCAAAAGTGGTTAGTTAATCTGCAAATGAATCGTTAGACAGGAGGAAATTATGAGTCTGTGTATTGAGTCCTAATGGGAGTAGAAAATGGGCATAAATAAATGTACTTGGAAACGAATCACAGGTAAAAACCCATATATTGAATTTGGAACTAGAACAGTTTCCCCCCCCCCAAGGTTTGTTTTCCTATAATCTGCATCTATTTTATCAGTCCAAGAGAGAGTTAAAATCTTCTCTAAAGCAAGAAATAATTAGCATAAATGATGGTATCCTAATATTTGAAGCTGCTTCAGGTGTTGTTGTTGTTGTTTTTTGGATAGGAAAAAGTGTATCAAAGTGGCACAGTACTAACAACGTGTGATAATAGTTGCAGTTCTCTGATAAATGATTTCCAGGATTAGATGCCAATGAGATCAGATTACTTCATTTGTTATAGGAAGATCTGTGATCCTGGGCTGACCTCATTTGAACCCGAAGCACTGGGAAACCTCGTGGAGGGAATGGACTTCCACAAGTTTTACTTTGAGAACTGTGAGTAGCAGAAAACTGGCAAATTCAAAATTACTCTTCCACTGTCTCCAGGGGTAGGAAATGGCTTGGGATTTCATGTCCACGCCTCGACTAGCTGCCAGTAAGGATCACATTGTAGCTTTGATATATACACTTCTAAAATTCACTCCAATTTTCCCAGATTGTTTCTCAGATTGGAGAAATCTGCTCCATGTCCTCTCTGTTCTCTTTTTATTTCCAAATTTTGTATATAAAGCATGTGCGCTTTGCTACAGCTCCCTGTCTCTGTGGTGGTCTTTGGATAACACCTTGTTTTAGACCACTAGGGTTTGTAGACCACTAATGGTATCTAGTAAATTCAGGGGAATTCTGGGAGTTGAAGTCCACAAGTCTTAAAGTCGCCAAGGTTGGACGCCCCTGCTCTAAAAGGTCAAGAGCTGCCCAGAGTAATTGGACAGTGAGATGAGTGGCAAATAAATAAATAAATTAGAAGCACATATTTAAAATCCTGAAAAATTCCTGCCTGCCTAAAAGACAGCGTTCTCTGTTTTGATTAAGCACACACGTGTGACGAACAAAACTCACTGGAATCAATTTTAGTGTCATATATCTAATTGCATCAAGATTTCATGTGTGTGTTTTACTAACACACTGCATGTATGTATTAATTAAATATCATAACAAATAGAGCGTATATTAATTTAAAGTATTATATTGACAACCTCTGAAGTCTGTTGGCAATTTACAGCGAAAGAAGTATCGTCCATATTCTATTATTTAACAACAAGGAGAATATATCTTAGTGGACTCCAAAAGCAGAAAATTGTAACAAAGTGCTCTAATTATTTTTAATTTCATCTGTTTCAGGAATGTATGCTGCACTTCAATATTTTCGGGGCATTTTGCAGAACAATATATATTAAAATGCTTTGCAGCAATCCGTATGAAAAAAAAAACCTGAATTAATGTTAAAAGCAAAATTACAGCCTATTCAAAAGAGGAATGTTTGGAAAAATAGCAAAACAATTTAGGCAGGTCTTCCTAAGTAGAGATCCTCAGAAATAGGGTGAAGAAGTGACAAGGCCTTCCCCTTGAAACCGTGTGTCTCATGTCCATTGATGGGAACATATGGAGATGAAGGAGGTGACTGGAGATTCTGCTAAGTTTGATTCTAGTTCTCAAATCATTTAGCATTCTCAGGACAGGCAGTAGTAATAGTAATAGTAGTAAAGTTGGAAGGGACCTTGGAGGTCATCTAGTCCAACCCCCTACTCACTGTAGCTCTCACCGTGCTTCACATGTGGCAGTGCAGTGACTTCAGCGCTAATCAAATTCAATTGTAAGACCAAATTTCATACTTCAATTTGGAATGGATCGTTTCGGAGATGGCCTGACTGAAACTTGAGTCTCAAACAGAACATTGTTTCTGGAAACCCAAAGTTTCCCAAGTCTTGTTGACTTTTCAGTGCAGAATTAACAAATGGCAATTCTGTTCTTGGACAGAATTAGATGATGTGATGTAAGCACGGTGGGGGGGAAAAAAAAATCAACCTAATTTTTAAAAGTGCTTTTTAAAGAGTTGTCTTCGTTAAAAATTCAGGACAAGTGAATAATTTTTTTTTATATTTATATCAGTCCATGGTTTGTTTGAGAAAAACATAGTGCTCAAGATTAAAAGGCAGCATTTCTTTGAAAGAATGTGCTATTGCCTCCATAAAGTACTGCTTCTCTTTTTTTGCAAAAGGCAAGCAACAGCTTTGCTCCCAAATTTCTCCCTTGCTAGGATTTGAGGTACCATGTATAGGTGGTAGGGGATATGGTAATACAGTGTAATGATATCCCTGGTCTCCATCATGTGAGTGGATGGAAACCTCTGCAATAGTGTCCTCTCTGGGCAGCCAGGTGTGAGCAAACATCTGTCGCCATCTGACAGCTTCCCAACGGCAGACAGAGGAAGCCTATAGGCTGCTCCAGTTACTGTCTCCTTCCTCTTTCTGCTGCTCATCTGTGTCTGTCTTCTCCGTAATTTTCCTAACTCCGCTACCTTCCATAGAGGCAAAGTGGAGTCTGTTGTATAGAATTCTGTTAAACGATAAAGCCATTAATTTTGTCCTTCCAAGAATTCTTCAGATTCAGAACTGCAGGAAAGTCATAATCATTTTTTTAGAATTTATGGAGAAAGTCTCTGAAACGCTGGGCGGATTGGAGCTTTGCTATGATTGAGGAAAGAAAAGTTAGGGGAAAAAAATGTTTGCAAAAGGGGGGAAACGTGGATGATTAAGATGGAAGAAAACAAGAAAGGGGATGGAGATGGGTCACAGGGTTGCCAGTGGTTCTTGACTATGTTGAGAAGAACCTTGATCCTTTCTTTGTCTCTCCTCAGTACTGTCCAAGAACAGCAAACCCATCCACACAACCATCCTGAATCCCCACGTTCACGTTATTGGTGATGACGCCGCTTGTATTGCCTATATCCGTTTGACCCAGTATATTGATGGCCAGGGCCGGCCTCGCACCATGCAGTCCGAAGAAACCCGCGTCTGGCATCGCCGGGATGGCAAGTGGCTGAACGTGCACTACCATTGTTCAGGGGCTCCTGCAGCTCCGCTCCAATGAAGCTAAAAATGGGTAGGTTTGACAGGGAAAGGCTACGAGTGCCATTAGGAATATACCTAGCAAAGTTTAGCTAGAACAAGGTGCCCCGTATCTGAACACTTGCAGGGAAAGTGAGCCGTACAAATAGTTCATATTCTGAAATGTGACCAGGGATGCAGAGAAAGCAGAGTGGAAAGCATGCAAGGCAAAGATGTACAGATATACTAATTCATGTTATTAAAGTCATAATAATAATAATAATAATAATAATGATAATAATAAAATAATATAAATATAAAATAAAATAATAAAAAATAAAATAGAGAAAGCCATAGAAAATGATAAAATTAAACTGCTCTGGGACTTCAGAATTCAAACAGACAAGCACCTGCAACATAACACCCCAGACTTAACAATTGTCGATAAGAAAGACAAAAAAGTCTGGATAGTGGACGTGGCAGTGCCTGGAGATAGCAGAATAGAAGAGAAAGAACTGGAGAAGATAACAAAATACAAAGACCTACAAATAGAAATAGAAAGACTGTGGCAAAAGCAAGCAAGGGTAGTACCAATAGTATAGGCTCCTTGGGTGCAATCCCAAAACAACTGGAGCACCACTTGAACACCATTGGCATTGACAAATTCGCTATTAGTCAATTGCAAAAGGCAGCCTTACTAGGAACTGCTTCCATCCTGCGACGATATCTGTAATACCATCAAACATCCACGTCTGCCTATCCCAGGTCCTGGGTAAGGACTCAATAGGTAGACAAAATGCCAAATCCAGTCTGAACATCTGGCTGACTCTGCGATGATCAGTAATAATAATAATAAAGTTGGAAAGGACCTTGGAGTTCATCTAGTCCAACCCCCTGCTCAGGCAGGAAACCCTACACCATTTCGGACAAATGGCTGTCCAGTCTGTTCTTAAAAACTTCCAGTGTTGGAGCATTCACCGCTTCTGGAGGCAGGTTGTTCCACTGGTTAATTGTTCTAACTGTCAGGAAGTTTCTCCTTAGTTCTAGGTTGCTTCTCTCCTTGATTAGTTTCCATCCGTTGCTTCTTGTCCTGCCCTCAGGCGCCTTGGAGCATAGCTTGACTCCCTCTTCTTTGTGGCAGCCCCTGAGAGATTGGAATACTGCTATCATCCTTCTCTTCGTTAAACTAGACATACCCAATTCCAGCAACCGTTCCTTACATGTTTTAGCCTCCAGTCCTCTAATCATCTTTGTTGCTCTTCTCTGTACTCTTTCTAGAGTCTCAGCATCTTTTTTACATCGTGGTGACCAAAACTGGATGCAGTATTCCAAGTGTGGCCTTACCAAGGCATTGCAAAGTGGTATTAATACTTCACGTGATCTTGATTCTATCCCTCTGTTAATGCAGCCTAGCACTGTGTTGGCTTTTTTGGCAGCTGCAGCACACGGCTGGCTCCAATTTAAGTGATTGTTCACTAGGACTCCGAGATCCCTTTCACAGTTACTACTATTGAGCAAGGTATCCCCTATCCTATACCTGTACATTTGATTTTTCTTGCCTAAATGTAGAAACAATGGCCTTAGGCAACCCTCCCCCACTCAACCCATAGAGAACCAAAGTATTTGGTTCAGTCTTCTCTCATTTGTCAAGACAGAAGCCGGCAAAGGCTCTTTATCACTCCTGGGCGTTGGGCACACAGTAAAAAATGTCAATAAAGTTTATCTTATCTTATCTATCTGATCAGCCCTGCAAGACTGGATGGCATATTTGATATAAGGTTCAAATATCAGAACCATATTTGATTTCCCCAGGTTTTTAAGGCCCTGGTTAAAGCGAAAGTCCATAAAGATTAGATTAGATGTTTTTGTAACCTGCCTATTTTTTTTTTTTTTGATAAATAATTCTGGGCAGCAAACATACCCAACATGCCTTTCTCGTCGTCCTATTTTAGTTCTCTCCAAAGAACTAAATGGGATAGAGAAATTCTTTAGCCTCACGGTGCTTTTTAGAGTGAAAAACCTGCATCTTTACGATCCCTAAGTTACAGAACTTGGAATTTTATTATTATTAGGGTATGTTTTCAAAATAGGAAGCTATATAACTGGTACTATATAAAACCTGTATGATATTTATCAAGGGGTTTGATTTCTCTCATTATTTCCAGAGAAAGCGATACTTATCTGAGCAAACCTAAGCTAAAAAGTTAACAAAAAAAATTTTGGGGTGAAATTTCTTTTGCTCTTCAGCAGGGGTGTCAAACTCAATTTCACTGAGGGCCACATCAGCATAGCGGTTGCCCTCAGGGGGCCGGGTGGGTGTGGCCAGAATGGATGCGGCCTACTGGGTGGGCGTGGATGGAGTGGGTGTGGCCTACTGGGTGGGCGTGGCCAGCTCTACATCGTTCGCGTCAAGGGTGCCTGTGGGGGCCTGGGCAGGAGTGGGACAGATCTGAGGGTCTCTGGCAGAAGGGGGTGGGACCGGGGCAAGTGCCAAGACATGGTCCACTGGAGGAGGCTCACTGCTCCTCTCAGGACATGAGGGGGGGGGGGCTTATGGAGCTAAGACTGAATGCCTTTCAGCATAAATGGCCACCACAAAATTGTACATTGGCTCCCGACCGGCCTGGGCCAGGGCCAAGGCAGCGGGGGCCATTCCCTCACTCTTTCCAGGATGGCTTTGTGGGCCACATGAAACCACTTCACAGGCCGCATCCGGCCCCCAGGCCTTGTGTTTGACATGTCTCCTCTTCAGGATGAATCACAGTAGATCTCCCAGAAGTTTTCTTACTTGACCAATCTTTGATGTTCCTTAAGATTCAGCTTGATACCTAGCATTGGTAACTGGAGCGTTATATTCATTTAAACTTTTATCCCGATGGCTTGAGTAGTTCCAAGTGGATTGCTGAATTTCCCTACCTACCCTTGCAGAGGGGGCATGGAAAAAGGGACACAGTAGGGAAGCAGAGACGAAAAAACATTGCCTTCTAATAGTTCAAGGACATTGTTTCCTAATTAAAAAGTCTTGAGTTCCCTTCAGCAGTTCACTAGGACATACAAATAAACCTTAAGAAAATGTGTGTAAATTGATGGAGTTTAAAAAAAAAAAAAAAGCTGGCAGACCAACCCACCGTTTCTCTTAACATCCTGCAAGTGCTTCTTCTTGTCCCTTTTCAACCTGTTAAAAAGTTTTAGCTTTCTTAAATCCCTTCTTGAGCTTACTTTTAGCGATGGGAACTGACGTTTCGTTATTTAATGGAGTTATCTTGTCAGTTTTCTGATTTAATTCTTCCCTTAATTTTTTTAAACCTACTTTTCAATCTCCAATGAGGACCTAATGTGACTTTTGGCAAAATTTTAATAATGATAATAATGTATTTATTTATTTATTTATTTATTTATTTATGAGACTTATATACCGCTTTAAGTGCAAGCACTCTCTAAGCGGTGTACACCAGTAAGCAATGTATATATATATATTTACATTGCCCCCAACAATCTGGGTCCTCATTTTACCTACTCCGGAAGGATGGAAGGCTGAGTCAACCTTGAGCCGGTGAGATATAATAACAATAATAATAATAATAATAATAATAATAATAATAAATAATAATAATAATAATAATAATAATAATAATAATAATAATAAATAATGTTGGAAGGGACCTTGAAGGTCATCTAGTTCAACCCCCTGCTCAGGCAGGAAACCCTACACCATTTCGGACAAATGGCTGTCCAGTCTTTCTTAAAAACTTTCAGTGTTGGAGCATTCATCACTTCTGGAGGCAGGTTGTTCCACTGGTTAATTGTTCTAACTGTCAGGAAGTTTCTCCTTAGTTCTAGGTTGCTTCTCTCCTTGATTAGTTTCCATCCGTTGCTTCTTCTCCTCCCCTCAGGTGCCTTTGAAAATAGCTTGACTCCCTTTTCTTTGGAGCAGACCCTGAGATATTGGAAGACTGCTACCAGGTCCCCCCTTGTCCTTCTTTTCATTAAACTAGACATAGCCAATTCCAGCAGCCTTTTCTTATATGTTTTAGCCTCCAGTCCCCTGATCATCTTTGTTGCTCTTCTCTGTACTCTTTCTAGAGTCTCAACATCTTTTTTACATCGTGGTAACCAAAACTGGATGCAGTATTTCAAGTGTGGCCCTCCAGTGTATTGTAAAGTAATGTCTGAAATGTTTTGCAGATTTGTGTGGAAGATTTTTGAATAATATTGGACATTTAATGTTTAGAAAAAATAGTCAACAATACCTCATTGAAAAGGAAATGGAGCTGTTCTAGAGTTTACAATGTCTGAAACCCAATACCTTTGGCACAGAAATTATTTTGGGACAACACACTTGCCCTGTAGCATCCTGGACAAGGAACAGATACAACATTGGTTAAATTCTCAACTATTAGAAGAGCGATCCAACACATAATTCATCTCTTGTTCACCATGTCCTTTCTTCCATACCAGGGGTAGGCAACCTTGGCTCTTTTATGACTTGTGGACTTCAACTCCCAGAATTCCTGAGCCAGCATGGCTCAGCTTGGAAACCTCTCCCTTTCCCCTCAGCATGGCTGGCTCAGGAATTCTGGGAGTTGAAGTCCACCAGTCATAAAAGAGCCAAGGTTGCCTACCCTTGTTCCATACTAACTTCTTAAAGGCTACTGAGATACCTTACAGCCCGTAGAATATTAACTTAACGAAATAATTTTAATAATCAATAGTAATTAAATGGAATAGGGAGCACTATCCCTTAACTCAGTGGTTCTCAACCTGTGGGTCGGGACCCCATTTGGGGTCGAACAACCATTTCACGGGGGTTGCCAAACAACGCAGTCTGCCATTTTTTCCCCCTTTTCCTTAGCTGTGCTACTCCCTTTTATTCTATTGGCTTTTGAAAGCCAATAGAATAGACTCTCTTGAATAGAGTCTAATTCTATTGGCTTTCAAAAGCCAATAGGAATTGTCCAGGCTGTCTCTGCCCTGCTGAGCCCGCCAAAAGTCCCATTCTGCAAACGGTGCTGCACCAGTTGAGTAGTCCTTGACTTACGACCGGTTGAGTAGTCCTCGACTTACAACTGGTTGGGGGTTGCGGCATTAAAAAGGTTGAGAACCACTGACTTAAAGAAACGATTTTAATAATCAATAGTAATTAAGTGGAATAGGGAGCACTATCCCTTAACTGTTGTGTGCTGTGAAGTGTAACTGTTCTCTGTATACTGGTTTCAATGCAGGTGAAATCATCCAGGCCTTGGGACTCCTAATCTGATTTGACCCATTGACCCGGTTATGCTATGTTTTTCTCGTCACGCTTATGCTTTTCTGATTGCAGCAGTTTTCGGAGATACTCAGCGGGAGGGCAATATCTTCTCAGCAAGCAGCTCTGGAGTCCCTGAATTACAGCAACGGTCATCTTCGTTTTGACGTTTCAAGAAATAAGAATTGCACACCGGCAGCAGCCAAGTGCACGAAACCCTGCATGAATCTGATGCTCCGGGTGCTGCCGCCTTTCTATCGTTTTTCCATGGATCCATCGTGTCTGTTTCTGCTGTATGAAGGTGTCTTATAACTCCTGAGAGAAAACCCATATTGTTTGTATAGAAAAGAGATCATCCGTGATGGGAGTATCCAGCACCTCCCCTCCAGGGCTGATGATGGAGCAACAGCTGTGAAGCATCTTTCAGAATTGGAGCAAAGCGAGAGAGAGAGAGAGAGAGAGAGAGAGAGAGAGAGAGAGAAAGTTTGAGAGCAAGACACAGCACCTCTTGGGCAGCGGGATGCTGTCCTCTGTTGTAGGCCCAGTGGAAATGGACCTTGTCTTTGGGTTATTTTGCTGCTTTAATCAGTGAGGTAGGGCTGATGGTAGTGAGCTCACTAGGGCCCGCATTAAGAAAGGGGTAAAGCAAAAGAAGGACTTTTCTTACGCTGTGGCTATCCCGCAACCAACTGGCGCCCAGACCTCAGCAGTAGAGAGGAGCCGATTATTTGACCGCTGGCTCTCACTGACGGATTGGGATAAAAATGAACAAGAATGTTTTAAGGAACAAGTATGGGCTGGTTTTGTTAGCATAGGAGCTTCAGAGATGCACTGATTTTTACAAACAGCCACTCCTCGATGATGTGAGTCAACTTATAAGGGTAGAATTTAAAAGCAAATAATCTTAAAGAGGGCAAAAAAAAAAAAATTATGTGAATGGCTTATTTTATTTTTTATTGTTTAGACTAGAGGGGAATCCAGAGTGGTGCAGAATTATGTGCTCCTTAGGAAACAGTTGAAAAGCTTTGTTACACTCTGCCCTGAAGATTTGTGCACACATGCATTCGCTTCCTGTATGGTGTGCAATTTAGTCTCTGTGTTATACTAAAATACTATATTAGCTATGAATTTAAAAAAAAAAGTTCTATAATTATGGGGCTAGCTGGTTTCCCAGTTTGATTTGTTTTCTGATAAAACTAGCAAAGGGAGCCAGCAACTTCCAGAAGTGCTGCTTTTTTTTTTTTTCAATAGCCCGGTCTATTTGACATTGCTTTATTTCCTGTTGTTCTGTAGTTTTTGGGGGAGTTGTTTTAACCACATAAACATAGAACCTTCGCATCGACTGTATTTATTGTCTTTGCTACAAAGAAAGCAAGTAATGTTCTTTATTTCCTACATCAGAAGTGTTTGTCAGCTTTATGGTTTGACTACTATTTTTTTCAGTTTCTGAGTAGAAGTGGGACAAAAACTTTCACAGTACATTTCCAAGATCGGATTTATACTATGACATTCTCTGCCCCTGGCATACAATGCACATCAACCCTTTTTTATGTCCATTCATTAGATCTGAGAAGATGGAATTCCATTGAGTTGTTCCCTTTATACCTGAAGTGGGATTGAGAATATTTTTGCTGTCTAATTAAATAAAAAAAATAAGAGGGTCAACTTAATGGAGTTTAGGAAAATACAGTTTCCGTTTCAGTATGGATTGAAGGGGAAATATCTTTTTCTATTCTCCTCACGAAAAACTCCTAATTCAGCTCCATAATATTTATGATAGCTCATGACTCAGTGCAGGAAAAAAGCATTCCTTCTTGCAGAGGTTTGTGTAAAATTTTCTTCTCCTTTAAAGAGAAGGAATATTTTCTCAAACTAAAGAGAGAAAGACAGACAGAGAGAATTCTACTGGGGCAAAAGAACCTGTGACGCTTCAGTTGCTGCTGGCTACACCTCCTAATATCCCTCACCGTTGGCTTGTGAGCTGGGGTTATTGGTGAAGTTAATTCAACAGCATCTGAAAAGTGTGACAAAATTTCATCTCTTCCTATCAATTTAATACAGAACATATCTAGGACTAAGTGTGTGAAGTAATAAAACCCCTGATAATTTTACTGAGATTTTTAGGAATAACATTACAAAGTTTGAGGAACAGGAAATTAGTTATACTGCTTAAAAAAAAGATGTGCATGCTTCTAGGTCTGCTCTTCTCTTGTCTTTTATCTGATTATTTATAATAATCCCCCTGTATTGAGTATCTGCATCCTTAAAACATATTTTTGGAACCGTTTGAGTTGTTTTGTCTTTGTTTTTACCATCTGTAAGACCTGTTCCAATTTAATGAGAACCTTAGCTTGGTATGGCCGTTATCAAACACAGCTATAGACCTTTGGCTTTCTTAATGTTCTGCTATGAGGTTAATGTAAGCATCTATATCATGTCCAGTTTTACACAGGAAATGGAACACGTTTGATGCAAATTTTTTGCATGATAGTGAAATAATAAAGTTAGTTTTTTTTTCCTGAATGTTAATAGAACCTTCATAGCTTTGTTACAAATAAACCTTGAACTCAACATATTTAATAAAATAACATTTAAATGGTGCAAAATATCAGGTAGTAATCTTCTATTTTCCTGAGTGTCTGAGAAAGCAGCATGAGCTGTTTGGAAATAACCCTTTGTCAAGGTGGCAGTGAAGTATGTGCAAATGTGTTGTACACCTGGAAACAGCTGAGTGAGATGAATGAGTGTATGTGTACGTAGCTGCGCCCAGCTGAAGTTATGGCCACTGGTCTACCAAGCAGTGATTAGAATAGAATAGAATAGAATAGAATAGAATAGAATAGAATAGAATAGAACAGAACAGAACAGAACGAGTTGGAAGGGACCCTTGTACATTGTTTCTGACAGATGGCAGTCCAGTCTCTTCTTGAAAACTTCCAGTGATAAAACTCCCACAACATCTGAAGGCAAACTGTTCCATTGGTTGATTGTTCTCACTATCAGGAATGTTCTCCTTATTTCCAGGTTGAATCTCTCCTTGATCAATTTCCATCCATTATTCCTTATCTGGCCTTCAGGTGCTTTGGAAAATAGGTTGACCCCCTCCTTTCTGTGACAGCCCCTCAAATATTGGAACACTGCTATCATGTGTCCCCTGGTCCTTCTCTTCACTAGACTAGCCATGCCCAGTGCCTGTAACCGTTCTTCCTATGTTTTTTGTATCTAGTCCCCTAATCATCTTTGTTGCTCTTCTCTGCACTTTTTCTAGCATCTCAACATCTTTGTTACAGTGTGGAGATCAAAATTGGTTGCAGTATTCTAGGTGTGGTCTTACTGAGGTTTTATTACAGTGTTTCTCAACCTTGACAATTTTAAGGTATGTGGACTTCAACTCCCAGAATTCCACAGCCAGCAATGCTGGCTGTGGAATTCTGGGAGTTGAAGTCCACATGCCTTAAAATTGTCGAGGTTGAGAAACATTGCTTTATAGAGTGGTATTAGTACCTCACATGATCTTGATTGAATCCCTCTGTTAATGCAACTTAGGATTGCATTGGCTTTTTTGGCTGCACCCTGTTGGCTCATATTGAATTGATTGTCCACTAAGACTCCCAAGATCCCTCTCACCGTTGCTGCTATTAAGCCACAATTGCCGCCATTAAGCTATTAATGCCCAGGCGTGTTTGAGCTGACCTAGAAAGCAATGTCAGGATGGTGACCAAATAGTTCAGGTAGTGGAAGAAGCCACTCATGTATTTAAATCTCCATTGTTTGTTGGGTTTTTATGCTGCACCAATTGCAGCTTCAAGTCTAAAGATTTGAAAGGCTGTAGTTCCACTTAGCATTAGAGGTCACTCCCTTGCTCGTTAAAACCCATGTGGCTTGTTAAGGAAACCCGAGGCATCTCAGGGTGGGGAAGGCCGTGGAGGGCCTAGTGTTGGAACCGGCCCCCTAGCCCCCCCCCCCGACCCACTAAGATACCGCATGCTTCCCCTTCCCTTCCTGCCGTGCCAGACTCACCTGGAAAAAATCCGTCTCCTGTCTGCCGTGATTCCTGCTGCCGCCTGGATTTGAGGCCGGGGAACACTTCCGTGACCCCCCCCCCCAACCATGGCCTGATCGGGGCTCTGGAGGCCTTTTCCAGGCTGCTGCCACCTGGATTTCAGGCCCGGGAACGCTTCTGCGCACCCCGCTTCCTCTATCTGCTTGCTCTCTGAACTATGCTTCCCTTGATGTCAACCTGGGGTGAGAAAGGAATGTGCCTTCGGCCATCTGGCTTATCTCTCGCTGCGGAAAGGAAGGTACGAAGACCCAACAACGTTTTCACAGCCTTGGGAATGGAGTCTTATCAGTCTCGTTCCCACAGCAGACTTGATACTTGGGGATTGGGCCATTTGACCTGACCAGATAAACTGTTGGGGTGGGGTTTGCTTTTTGCTCCTTTAACCTATTGATATGAGCAGGAAACCCTCAGATCCTGCCTTCTATGCCTGCTGTCAACTTCCCCTAATAAAAGTTCCTTTTGGAATGGAATGGTTCCAAGAGTCCTGCCTTCTTGAGATGAGGTTTTGAAGCGGGTCCTTACATTAGGCAGGATCTGCAAAAATGGTCAACCCGGAAGGAAGGCCCTTACCGTGAATAGCACTGCTATTCTCCAAAGCTCCTGAAGGCAGGACAAGAAGCAACGGATGGAAACTAATCAAGGAGAGAAGCAACTTAGAACTAAGGAGAAACTTCCTGACAGTTAGAACAATTGACCAGTGGAACAACTTGCCTCCAGAAGCAGTGAATGCTCCAACACTGGAAGTTTTTAAGAAGAGACTGGACAGCCATCTGTCCGAAATGGTGTAGGGTTTTCTGCCTGAGCAGGGGGTTGGACTCGATGACCTCCAAGGTCCCTTCCAATTTATTATTATTATTGATCATCGCAGTCAGCCAGATGTTCAGACTGGATTTGACATTTTGTCTACCTATCGAGTCCTTACCCAGGACCTGGGATAGGCAGATGTGGATGTTTGATGGTATTACAGATATCGTCGCAGGATGGAAGCAGTTCCTAGTAAGGCCGCCTTTTGCAATTGACTAATAGCGAATTTGTCAATGCCAATGGTGTTCAAGTGGTGCTCCAGTTGTTTTGGGATTGCACCCAAGGAGCCTATCACTATTGGTACTACCCTTGCTTGCTTTTGCAAGCTATTTCTATTTGTAGGTCTTTGTATTTTGTTATCTTCTCCAGTTCTTTCTCTTCTATTCTGCTGCTTTTTTATTATTATTATTATTATTATTATTATTATTATTATTATTATTATTATTATTATTATTATTATTATTATTCAACACATTAAGGTAGTAACAGGCAGTAGAAAGAAAGCAGAGCTGCTTAACTCATTCTCTGAGTTCACATAAAAAGAAATAGCACAATCTACCAAATCCTAACTGCAAAAGACAAAGTAGAAATAAAAATTACAAGAAGCAAGAAAATGGCAAGAGAACACTGTCTGCCCTTTATGAATATAAATCACAGGGACCTGACAGGTTATATCCCAGAGGTCTGAAGGAACTGGCAGATGTTATCTCAGAACCATTGTACCATATATTTCCAAAATCCTGGCGCACCAGGGAACTACCAGAGGATTGGAAAAGAGCTGATGTGGTTCCCATCTTCAAAAAAGGGAAAAAAAAAAGATCCGGGAAACTACAGACCAATCAGTCTAACGTCAATACCTGGGAAGATATTGGAAAAATAATTTATAAAAAAACAGATCTGTGAACATCTAGAAACAATTTTTTTTAACTAGTTGCCAGCACAGGTTTGTTAAAAACAGATTATGTCAAACCAAACTGATTTTATTTTTTGACAAAGTTACTAAACTAGAAAGGCTGTGGACATGGTATATTTGGACTTCAGCAAGGCATTCGACAAAATAGACCACAATGTATTTCTTGGTAAACTAGAAAAATGTGGGATAGACACCATCCCCACCACATGGATTTGTAGCTGGCTGACAAACCTTACTCAACAAGTAGTCCTTAATGGTACTACATCTACATGGAGGGAAATGAGCAGCAGGGTACTTCCATCTTAGGCCCAGTACTCTTCAATATCTTTATAAACACTAATACTTTGTGTGATCTTGATTCTATGCCTCTGTTTATACAATCCAGGATTGTATTAGCTTTTTTGGTTGCTGCTGCACACTGCTGGCTCATAGTCAAGTGATCGTCCACTAGGACTCCAAGGTCCCTCTCACAGTTACTGTTTTTAAGCCAGGTCTCGCCCAATCTGTACTTGTACCTTTGATTTTTCCTGCCTAAATGTAAAACTTTGCTTTTCTTCACACTGAAACTCATTTTGTTGGATAGGGCCCACTGTTCAAGTCTGTCAAGATCTTTTGGGATCCTGAGTTTATCTTCTGGAGTGTTGGCTACTTCTGTCAGTTTGGTGTCATCTGCCAATTTGATGAGTTCCCCTTCAATTCCCTCATCTAAGTCATTGATGAAGATATTGAAGAGTGCTGGGCCTAAGACGGAACCTTGTGGTACCCCGCTGCTTACTTCTCTCCATGTGGATGTGGTGCCATTGAAGACTACTCATTGAGTATGGTTTGCCAGCCAGCTACAGATCCATCTGGTGGTGATGTTGTCTATTCCAGCTTTTTCTAGCTTACCAAGGAGTAGGTTGTGGTCTACTTTATCAAATGCCTTACTGAAGTCTAAGTATACTACGTCCACAGTATTTCGCTGGTCTATTAGTTTAGTCACTTTGCCGAAGAATGAAATAAGATTGGTTTGGCATGATCTGTTTTAACAAACCCGTGCTGCCTTCTAGTTGTAACTTTCTTTGCAGATCTGATTTTTGATTATCTTTTCTAAGATCTCCTGCTTGGGCAGGGGATTGGACTACTAGGAGACCTCCAAGATCCCTTCCAATTCTATCCTGATTGAAAGATATCAAAGAAATAATGGCATTGATGAAAGCTTGCACCTATAAATGACATACATAGTCTCTGTATTAAATGTGAGACACAAGCATTAAAAGAACACATATACTTACGAAATTATTCTATTTCAGTATTCTTTTGGGTCCCCCCCTTTTTTTTAAATAAAGAGTAATTTCTGCTCCTCACAGAATTGTTCTTTGGGGCTGGGAGTTGAAGGAAGAGCCCTGAGGGGTTCCTATTTCGGGTCTTCTGGAAAAGGGGCATACCGCTCATGAAACTAATCAAGGAGAGAAGCAACCTAGAACTAAGGAGAAACTTCCTGACAGTTGAGAACAATTAGCCAGTGGAACAACCTGCCTCCAGAAGCGGTGACTGGAAGTTTTTAAGAAGAGACTGGATGGCCATTTGTCTGAAATGGTATGGGGTTTCCTGTCTGAGCAGGGGGTTGGACTAGATGACCTCCAAGGTCCCTTCCAACTTTTTCTTCTATTATTTTTATTTATTTGTTTATTATTATTATTATTATTATTATTATTATTATTGTTGTTGTTGTTGTTGTTGTTGTTGTTGTTGCAAAATGATCTTGGTGACTGGCAAAATGATCTTTGCGCACCTAATTTTTTTCCAACTTAATAATAATAATAGTAACAACAACAACAACGTTG